TATNTATCTATTATTATTATTATTATATTATTATTATTATTATTATTATTATTATTATTATTATTATTATTATTATTACTATTATTATTATTATTATTATTATTATTATTATTATTATTATTATTATTATCATCATCATCATCATCATCATTATTATTATTATTATCATTATTATTATCATTATTGTTATCATTATTATTATTGTCATTATTATTATTGTTATTATTATTATCATTATTATTATTACTACCTTTATCATCATTATTATCACTATTATTATTACTACCTTTATCATCATTATTATCATTATTATTATTATTATTGTCGTTATTATTACTATTATTATTATTGATATTATTTTTATTTCTATCACAATTATTATCACTATTATTAATTATTATCATTGTTATTATTATCTCTTAGTTTTTATAAAATCCTAATATTCGAAATTAATTTCATGAATACTAATATGATCAAAAGATTGGTGCAAAAATAGTATTTAATATTATAATGATATCCTTAGCGATATTATAATCATATTCTTAGCGACTGAATTCTTTTGATTGTCTGAATGAAACAAAATAGGAAAGAACGGTACAAAAAAAAAACTTTTTAATCTAATGTATGGAACAGCATTTTTGAAATGTTGAATGAAAATTAATTCTTTCTGTAGAAGATACTGACTGATAAGTAATCAATATCTCTTAGATCATAAATGATAGAATTCAGAGAATTGGTAACAATTTCATATTTTATGTATTTATAATAATACTTTGACTTTTGCCGATTTTACTTTTCCTCTGATTGATATTCTACTTAATACATTATCCAATGGTATTATATGCGGGTAAAACTATTCTGATAATTTAAAAACAAACATGATAACTTTGAAATGCAAGCAATACCTTAAAATATGAAACGAAAAGAATTTTCAGTATTACCTACAATTACTGCTATCATTCAATATAACTTTCTTAACTTTAACATTAAATCTTCTAAATTATTGCTTGCAACTGGATATTGTTAGTTCCGTTCTTGAAAAGGAAACAATTTTAAGTGGTTCAAAAATGTTGGAGTGATGCTTCAATACAATTAAGTTTACAAATGGGGATATGCAAATGTTTCGGAATCAATTTTTTCTTTGTACTAGGATGCGGGTTGAAATATAAATAACCTGTTTAAATAAAGATACTTAGGTGTAATTGTTTAGTGGCAAATCAGGAATGCATAAAAAACAACCTAAAAGCATCTATTCTTTAAATTACTATATTATACTTCGACATGAATAAAATTAACAGCTGTCTCGCAATGATATCGTCAGAATGATACCGAGGTGAATCAGAAATTGAATATAGAACATCTCGATGACTTTGGCAGTATATATTCCCTGAAGGACAAAGACATTTGCAGAAGTTTCAACAGAAAAATACAAAACTTTTTGCATAACACTAAAATTTGCAAATATACTATTATGTGGTAAATCCGTTGCATTACCACAAAAAGTCATCAGTAATTAAATGTCCGAAAGATAGTAACTTTTTCTCATTTCCTTTGAGTTTATTTATTTGATTCCGTTTGAAAAAGCTGTAAAATTGATGAAGTAATAATCATATCTGCGAGGTAAGAACTTGAAAATAGATCGATCACAGACTAATCAAAAAGATTTGTTGCAATGTGTGACAAAAATCATTCTAAGTAATTTCAATTTAACACAAAGAATTTTAATTTAAAAAATTATATCATTGCAAACGCTAAGAGGTGTGAAGAGTAAAGGTCATTCAGATGTCAAATATCGTAAATGAACTTCTTTGTATTAATTTTTCTTTTTTTCATTTACAACGTTTGGTAACATTCACGGACAATAATACCATCCCGAAAATTTGCAACTTATTTGTCAGATCTTGAATTTGTTCAGAACTATTTTAAATCATGTCACTTTTTTTTTTACACGTTACATTATAGACGAATGTTTCCAACATTACAAGTAACAGTATCTGGCCTGGAGCCATCTGTACGTTACTCATTAATGGTTGATTTGACGTGTATTGATAACAAAAGGTACCGTTACGCTTTCCATCAATCGAAATGGATTGTCGCTGGACCAGGTAACTTTCATACTTTTTGAATTTAGTTTGATAATTAACTGGATGATTGTCTGCTCCTTTTTGATTGCCAATTAAATTAATTACTTAACTACGTTGAGGTCAAGCTCTAGGTCAGCACAACGATATTTACTGCTTTGTAGGGTATTAGCAAAAAGAATCCATCTGTTTGTTGACATCCTGTTATGGATTATATGAATTACAGGAGAAGCGGAATTACCATGTCGAGTTCATGTGCATAATGAATCGCCCGCTTTAGGTGAGCATTGGATGCGCCAGACAGTATCTTTCGATAAAATTAAATTAACCAACAATCAGCTAGATCAAAACGGACACGTACGTTTCATCATTTACTTTTAACCATGGCTCATTAACAAATGATGAGATTAATTAAGTAAAATAATCAATGTAATTTTAAGAATTCGAGCCAAGACAATTGGAAGAAAAGTCAAATTCACTTCCAGCTAGTTTGTAAATTTTAAAAAAACAATTTTAACTATGAGTGAACTGATTTCTAACTAAGAATGAAATACTATAAAGTGTTGTTAAAAAATAGGTAAATTGAAAAACGAAAAATACCAATCTAGCCTTGGAACTATTGGAATTTAATTGAAGTATATACTCACCAATAGAGTTCAAAGATTCAATTTAACAGTTGATTTTGACTCAAGTTAGATAAGTTCCAATTGATTTAACTGAACTATTTTGAGTTAACAGTTTTCATTGCATAAAGAATGCTTTTCTGAAGTCCAAAAGTTTTAGCAACTTTTCATACTATCATCACTATCCTGCTGTTAAATTACGTTAGGAACAGAGCAAATTCTTTTTAAGTTCACTAGAAACATAATGTAACTTAGGATTTGAAATCTTTACAATTAAGCATACTTTAGCCCAGTTAAGCATGAAAAGTCTCTCGGTACTATACCTTATGAGCTTGCAGATAATTGTGAATTCGATGCATCGTTATCAACCAAACATACACGTCGTAGTGCATGCTGATGGGAACGGACGTCAATGTCGGACATTTTCATTCCTGAACACATCATTCATGGCTGTTACTGCTTATCAAAATCATCGGGTAAGGGGTCAAATTCAAAATACTGCAATTTAAAATGAAAGAATCATTGGATCTTACGAATCATTTTATAGAAATAAAGGACAAATAGGCATAGCTTCTCTAAGAGATACTGGAAAACCGATTGAATTTATTTCATCAAATTCAACTTATTTATTTCTTCTAGATAACAGAGCTTAAAATCGAGAGTAATCCATTTGCCAAAGGATTCCGCGAATGCGAAATGAACGAATCATTTCCGTTCCTCATCAATCCATTGTTCCCATTCTATACTACATTGCTTGCTTCGCATTTTCGTGCTACCAATCCTTTTAGTAAATAAAACTTCTTATGTGAATTTGCACCATTTACAATAAAGACTTTCTGAAAACAATTTAAAATAAAATTCCTAAACTACTGAAAAACAGTTCTTTAAAGACGAAACATTTCTTCCACCATGGGCATTTTTTCAACATTGTTCGACTATCATTATTCATGTCTATATCAAAATTTGGAAGAAATGACCAAAAGCTCGTATATAATCCACGCAAGCATTCTTTACTTCTAAATACGAACTTGGGAATGCCACAACCGAGCCGTTCTCCCCTCAGTTGGATAATAATTTGACCACTGGACGGTCGACTGAAATCTTTCTTCCATACATTTGATATGATTCATTGAAACAGATAAAGTGCTGATTGATGGTTGATATTTCTTTAATCAACAAGCAATATTCCAACGACAATTACTGAAGCTTTTAGTAAATTTATATAATCAATAAAATAGGCAAATAAATAAGTATATATCGTCCTGCCAAGAAGCTCAACTACTCGATCCATCGATGTATTCCAATTACATTCTTGCTAAGTTGTTCAAGTTGTAATTCCAATTTGCAATAAGAAAATTTTGCTACTACTATAAAGCAGTAGTACCTAAAAAAGATGTTGGAATCTGCGATTATTGGACAAATCTGATAACAAATTAAATCAATCTGTCACTTAGACACCCAAATTGAAAGAATTACCACAGAAGCAGAAAACCTTGTGTAATATGTCGCAACATAAAGATAGTGAAGCAAAAGGGTTTTAAAACAACATACCTACCAAAATCCAACATGATGGGCATAAGCATGAGGGGTAAAATGAGACAAGTGATCAATTGAGACTGTAAAGCAGGAATTATCACTGGTCAGAATATTTTACAAATATTATTAAATTTACGATAACAAATTGTGCTATTTCCTTTCTAAGCTCAAATGAACGTTGATATCTTCCAATACTGAAAACCATCTGTAACCAAGTAAAAAAATACCCAAGTACAATCTATTACAATCCTTTTACAAGTGGATTCACAAATTCCTTCATATTTTCCCCGGCCTTTCCAGAGCTTGAATTCTATCACATATTTATAAAATCTCAGCATTAAAACTAGATTTCTACCAAGTGCGAATAATTTATTTTCATCAAAATTGAATAATATTCATTTCTGATTATCCCAAACATTTACTTTTCTACTTTCTTATTAATATTTCCATTACATTTACAATTGCTCGCTTTAACTTTCCCTCATGTTTTAGTCAAGAGCACTCAACTATTCCAATCTTTGAATTCATGTTTATTTTAGATGATTAGATGAATCACTTCAATTACCTTCCTGTAAAAACAGGCTAGAACTTACTGAAATATAAAATCCATCTTCGATTTCGGTGCAGGATGCAATGAAATTAACTTCCTAATGAAATCTTCCAAAACATAATAGACAATCGTTTTACTTCATATTCCCGTAGATCGTGGTGTACATTTCAGAGCACTATAAAGATTACTTTTTGTGTCAGCATCAACAACCAGAAAATGTTTCCTACAGAAAATGCCATCCGTAGTAAAATCAATTTAAGTCAGTGAATCATTCCCTGTATTTAACGTCAGCTTCAACTATTTAATACTACTAAGGTACGTTAACAAGTTCAGTTATAATACAGCTCTTTTGGAAAAAATTTTTGCATAATAACCTTGGCAACTTACCCATGTAAATTCAGGTAATTTCTTCTGATGCATTTATTACTTGTAGTCCAAGATGAATATTAACCATGAATACACAGGCTGCAAATAAAATAAATGGCGAGCTTACTGCAAACATATGGAGAAGTTCCTTCGGAATTAATGAAATTATTCTTCATGCTTTATAGCATATTAGTTTGCAACTCAAGTAATACAAATCCAGAAAGCACAAAGATTAATGCCATTTATCCGAAAAAAAACGCACGAAAACCTCATTTTTCCTCTTAAAATCCCAAATTATTCAAATTGCAGTTTTAGAAATCAGAATAAAGTTAAACCACTAATTTTCGGCATAAAAACATTAACAAGCAGAGAGAAATATAAACTGTCGTAGGCCTTTTTACTTCCGCCAGAATAGCTGCAAGCTTATCAGTTAGTTGTGACATGTAAAAAATCGCTGTGATAAAACGTTCACACCATAAATTTGAATGAAACATTTACAATCGTTTGAAGAAATAAAGAAAATAAATGGTTCGGTTTTTGATTTGCATACTAAAATCAAAAGGTAAATATTCTAAAATTGCATAAAAAAGCACCGTATAGCAAAATGATTAGATTCATATTGTAAAGTGTTGAATTTCAGTAATACCTAATCTCCATAAAATAATTTCTGAATGTGAACGATCTTTATAAAAGAACTTCCTGAATCCATCTCTGATATTTACTAAAGAAAAAAAAAGCAAAATAAAAATAAGGTGATGAAATGAAATAATTACCATCAAACAGTTTTTGGTTTCTTAAAAAAAGTGTAAAATGAACAATAGTAGAGAACTAACTATTCAAAAAGTACTCGATTATTCTCGTTTTCTGTTACATTTGCGCAATTACTAAACGACAAGTTTAATCTAGCCAATTCTGCTTCATCCCAAAATGTTGAAGGACATATATTCCTGAAATAATCGATAATCGTTATCACCACTGTAAGACATCATATTCCGCACTATTTACCTGAGATCTCAAGCAGTTTCAAAGTTTCACAACCCAATTCCCGAAATAAAACAATCGTCTTCCTTCGAAAAGAACGGAATAGTACGGAAAGAAAAACTGCATGTAAAGAAAACGAAAAACTAAAAGACTAAATGAATGGAACAGAAAAAGACATTAGCATATTTTAGTTACTTTCTAAAGGAGAAAGAAAGAACGAAAAGTATATTATCCGTTAGGTATGCAAATTATTGCAGACATAACGGTGATACCTTCCTGTTGACAACAATCGATTACCGATGCTGCTGCGACTTTTCCGCTTTTCTCAATTATTACTCTTCTTGCTGAAATTCACAGAAGGAAACGAGTCTTCTCTATAAACAAAAGAGGAAAGAATGAAACTTTTTTCAACGTCCTTCAAATATCCACCTATTCGGTTTATGATGAGCCAAATTTCGGAGTAAAGGATAAATCGGAAACCATTGGGAACCATTGAAACCGGAAACCAGTTTTCGGGTCTAACAGAGTCCAATGTTAATAAATGGGAAGTTAATGTATAAGAATCACACTATCCTCTCTTCTGGTTTTCATTCACTCTCTCGAAGATTCCTCTCACTTTTAACTTTTTCTTTTCGTCTTTTCTTTCTTCCTCCAACATCACCGACCATTTAAAAATGTATTGCTTTCTTCTTCCCTTTCCTATCTGATCTGTTCTATTTTCATCACTATTCTGTCTCTTTGTTTCATTCCATATCCATATATGTTGATTTGAAAAGAAAAATTTAGAAAGAATAAAATCCTTTATCCTTTGAGCAGAAGAGTAACTCCTGTTACCCGCCGCCGTGGGTAAGTAATAATTCTTCCCACCGGTACAAAATGCATCTTAAGCTGTGTTACCCATCATTAAATACTGTTTGTCAACAACATTTCAAACCAGGTTTAATATACACTTTTCTCTAACTGCTATGCAGTCCTTTTATTATTATCATCACTTTCTCCATCCTATTTCAACACTTTCTCAATCCCTTTTCATATATTATTTCTCTCATCCTTCCAGCCTTTCCTCCACTCAGTAATCATGCTTGTTCACATATTTCTGTATTACCGGAATACAACACTATTTTGTCGATTTTATGTCTTCCCTCGACTTTATTTTTCATGGTATTTTTTTTTTTGTTATCGTTTTCTAATTGTCAACCTTTCAAATTTAATCAGTCTCTGATCTCTCTCTCTTGCCCTCTCTCTAATCACTGTGCTTTTTTCCAAAAGTATTAATTCAATAAAAAAAAAAGAAAAATTAGCTCGAGACTTGTTTTAAGCAAATTGTGAAGATTTGAAAAATTTCATCCCTTTGAATCTACGAAAATAATTTGATAAATTCTTGAGATTTTCATAATACTTTTGGAAATTCTTATTGATTTTTCCCAAATTATTGTTGCCTTCAAATGAAATGTGAACAATAGCGCACATCTGATTGAGTATTTTGCGCTTATATTTGATTCCATACTTCTTCTCTTCTCTGTCATGGATGACAAATATTCATCAAAGAGATGAAAGGGTGGACAATTGAACCGTATAAATTCATTACATAGAGTAGCAGGATGAAGATAGGAAAGGTTAACTGAATAATCCTTTCTTCATTAGACATAGATGGATTTACTTGAGTTATTAGAAAAATCTTTAGATTCATTAGCCATTATCATGGCTATTTTCATCAAGATTATTAGGATCAGTGTGATGATTCAGTGTGACGACTTTAACAGTATTCGTTTTATGTCACTTTATTTCATTTTTAAACTTAAAAAATCTTCCTTGTGCTCAAAATTGAAAAGAATGATCTAAAATGTTATTAAAAGTCAAACTCAGCTAATTAGCACTTTCACCAAGTTAGTGTCAAATTGTTAAGTTAGTGCTAAGCAAAGCTTAAATAAAATAGTCTTGCTATTATAGAAAATTAAAATGTAACCATGCGAGATTACAAGATGAAATGAAAAATGTCATCAAAATTTATGAATCATCAGTGTATTTATCATTTACAATGTGCTATCATTAGCTATCATTTCCCAGTGTTTACCTCAGAGTATATCAAAATGAATAATGGATATGTAATATGTCCATTGGATCGGATTATTTTTCACCAACAATTGATATATGGCATTCATAATTAGCTGAATAATTACTTAGCCTCAAATAAAATGTTATATCATTCATTCGATTAATTGGCTTGTAGGCAAGTTGTTGGATACCATTATATCTTTTTTTGCTTGTTTAATGAAATTAAATTGGATTGTCAACGAATGAAGTCAAGCGGATGAAGTCTTTGTAGTAATTGTCAACCAAACGTTGAAAACTTTGATGTGATAGTTTCAGATAATAATTTTCATTTAACTGAATTACCAATCATCCAGTTTTATTTTGCTTTACTAGGTAAACTAACGATTCATTTCAGCATAATGAAAATTGGTAGATTGAAAGTGAGGATAATATTGCTCTCAGACAAGTTTTTCCATTACCATTTGAAATTTGCTAATTATATATCCTATCATTTGAGTTTTTTTAAGATTGATAAGTTGAAGTAATAAATTGAAATGTTTTGTTAGAAAAATTTGAATTTCCTAATAACAAATATAAATTTGTCGCTTCATATTTGTCAATAACTTTCCCAAAATCGATAACTTAAAATATTTTGTGGAGAAATTTGAATTTGACAATAGTAAATATGAATTTCTTACTTTATTATTTACCCATAATTACTTCACAATAATCACCACTGAACAATTAATGATTTCAAAAGATTGATAATATGGTAATTTGTTGTTTAATGTCGATATGTTTCGACATACAATCCAACAAATGGCATAATTCATCATATATGCCTCAAAAATTATTAAACAAATGATCAAATATAATTTATAGCAGTAGAAGAGCAAACTTGCACTACGATAACGATGATGAACGAGTGGATATCGAAGATTGTAACGATGATAAATGATAAAGTTTACAACATATGGTCCACCTTTTGTCATCAAAATTCAATTCAATTCAAATTATGAAACAAAATTTGAATATTAATGCTTCATCGTGCATATTTTCTACTTTCATTCCTTTCTGATATGAATTATCTCGTTTCAAAGAAGTTGAAAAGATATTGAAAGAAGGATGATTTCATTTGTTTGTTGAGCAATAGACGAAATTAGGCCAAAAGTACTTAAAATGAATAAGGTATGTTTAGTGATATAATTAAAGTATGTCTAAAACTTCACATAAGTAGTACTGAAGAGAATTTAAGTAATACATTTATTGCTCTTGCTAGTATTAGTATATCATAGAATTACTGATTAAAATGATATCATCTTAGGGGTAGCATCTTAAACAGTTGCTTCTGAAAGTTGATATCATCTCGAGTCATCATGATGAAAACAATGGTATTAAGGCATTATCATTATAATTCTTGTCCTGTTATCAGTATTCTATATCCTTTACTTGTTTACATTATTTATGTTGCATGAGTTTAAATTGATAAAATCAGTGATTAAATCTTGAATATTATTTGAAGTCCTCATTAATTAATGAGGAAAATATTTATTTTTATTACTAAACTTTCTTCTAATTTATTCATTTTTAAATTAAAACATTCATTAATGTTTGTACAATTTGTTATCATTTCTCCTTCATGTGTATTGCAACTGTTGTAAAATATATCAATTATTGATTGATCGTTGTATATTGGGGGAAAAAAAAGAAAAAAAAAAGCCTTTCTGAGTTTCTGAGAATATGAAAGAAATCGGTCCCATTTATCAAATTGGATTACAACAACAATATGACAAAGTATTTTTACCATTGCTTCTGTTATGTTACTACTACTAATGCCAAAGATTGAGATCTGGAGAATTCTTTTCCTGATCTCATTTACCCGTTCATCCCTGATCGTCAGTTAAAGCGGTCGCTTCTCTTTTATCTGAATGTCCGCTTTCCTTCTTCAGAACTTCTTACACATCAATCTTACATCCACAAACGAGAGAGATAGATAACACATAGTTTGATATGCGCCAAACTCAAGCTATATAACCTTCTCAGCTCAACTCAACAAACCAATCCTTATCGATGAACTTCTGACACAGTAAATGGACAGAAGATGAAGCTTTTATACAGATAGAATGATAAAGTAAGTGAATGAATGGACAATATAATCTCACCTTTAACAATTTTGATCAATCATCCGTCAATATTCACTTATCCTTTCCGCCCATTTCATTGTCATCCCTATTTAGCTTCTTCCTTTCATCCTTTCATTTTCTTAGTAAATCCTAACCAATTGGATTTAATCAAATCAAATTATGTTTATGCAACAAATGCGCCATCTATACTGCAGATGCCATTTGCGCGCTTCAATGAATTATTATCATTTTTCATTTTCTTAATCTATGATGCAATTGTTTTCAGATATTACGGTATTATTCTCATCACAGTCTCTGCTTACGTAATATTTTGAAGAAACAAAAAAAAAAAAACTTTAAGAATGGTGTTAAATAAATAAAAGATAAAACTTTTCATAAATCAAATAAAAGATTTTAAAAATTAAAAAAAGAATTTGTAATGAATTATAAGAATGCAATAGAGTAAATGATTAAAAATACATCCATAAATAATTTGTTTTCATAAATTACTTCATTTCTTATCAGCTCTTTTTATTTATCATTTATCATTCACAAATTGTTCATATACATCATTTTCGGGGGAATTTTTCAAATATTTTGAAAAGGCTTTTTATTATTTCTACTGAATTATTCCATCTTCAATCACAATCAAAATAAAATTGGCTGGTAGCCATTAATGTTTGAAATATTTTATGAACTTATTGCCAACTTTGTCTTCAAATTAAAAAACAAAAAAAAACTTTTTTTTACCAGTTCTCCATAAGTATCTGTTGTTTTAGAGAAAGAAAGTGTTGAAAAGAGGAAAAGAGAGACAAAAAGAAATTTCTAAAAAGGTATTTGAAGCCTAAAGAAGTTCCAAAGGTTAAACATCTTCAAGGTTTTTTTTTTCTTTACTACCCATTCTCTGTTTGCCTGTTTATACGGTTTGTTACTACGGATTATCATCATATCGACGGATAAACTTCTCATATGCAAATTCCACCACTATTGTGTCGGATATCACCAAAAGAACCCAAAACAAAGCCTACCATATGCAAATGATACATAATGCACAGCCTGAATCATACATTTTTTGACCGCGTAATTCGACACTTTGCCATAAAATCCTTTTCTTTATAAGAGATGAAAAAGGATAAAGGAAACACCTGAAACAATGGCATAATAGAATACCATACATATTCATCCTCAGGCCATTCTATTTAGTTTAAATTTCATTTTCAAGGTTACTATCACCTGACTGACCAAACTGACCAAACTCAAACATTGAAATTTTCGAAATATATCTGTGGATGCATAAATTGTAAGTTAAGAGGTGAAAATGCATAAAATTGCTTGAAATTTATACAAAAGTATTTTATGGTGAAATTATATGAAAGATTTTTTAGAACAAATGAAAAGTTCAAGTAAAAATGAAATAATAAACTGTATGTTTTCTCAAAATATTTCTTTTTAAAAACAAACCAAAACAAATTTCAATGGACATTCCTTCCATTCAAATTGCCATTATACTCTATTAAATACAAATTTATATTCGAAAAAATTGTTTACTGTCATAACGACAGATATAAGCAAATAAAAAACTTTCTATTTTTATAAAGATTAAATAATTGAAACAAAGCGAAATTCCAATATGCAATAACAAAAAAAAATGTTCGACGTCTTTTTTGAAATATATTTTGCAAAAATCCAGCAAAATTTTTTTCATTTTTGTAGGAAATTTAAAAATTTTATTAAAGCCATTTGATTATTGGTGGCAAGCAAGTGAGAAACTTCTTTTTTTGATCCATAAGTTCGTAATAATTCGTTAAAAAGGAACAAACAAAGCATTTAATTAAATAAATAAATCTGTTCATGTTTGAAAATAAATGATCCATCCAGCATCATTTTTAAAGAATTTAAAAAAAATCTGAAAATCAATGTTACAGTAAAAGATGGGGCGATTGTTGAACCCATTAAGATCGAGTAATCTTTTGTTCATTTATCAACTTAACTATTTCAATTGTTGAAGAACTTGTTCCACTCAAAAATTACTCCGTTGATTCCAAAATTTTTCTCAACTCTTATGAAAGTTGAAAAAATGAAAAAAGTTTTACCGAAGTTTATGAATATTTCAAAGTAAAAGTACCAAATGTTTGTTTAAAATTTCATCATATATATTTTCAAAAATATATTTCAAAGGAAGTTTAAAAAAAAAAGAGAAAACCAAGCTATATATCTTTTTGCTTCTCGTTTAGAAAAAAAGAAAAAAAAACATGAAAAACCTAAACATAGCCATACTAAGGGTTGGTTCTTGGCTCATATAGATTAAACATAGTTATAGTAAGACTTAGCTCGTGGTTTAAACATCGCTATACCACAGTTTAGCAAAAATTTTCTTGGAAAAATGGATTTAAAAGAAAAAAAAAGGACAGAAAAAGAGGGAAAAAGAAGTAATGATCGAAAAGGTAAGAATTCTGTTTTCTAAAAAAAAAAAGTATGACAACTCATTTCACTTTATCTATAAGTTTAATCTAATTGTTATAGTCTTACTTACTTACCTATTAACTTTTAACTTTGTAAAGTTAAATAGGGATAAGAATATCATCTTATAATTGCAAAAGCCTTTCTTTGCCCCTTTTTTTTTCATGTTATTTTTTGGGAAGAAAGGAGGGAAATTTCAGGTTGTTTGTTTGTCAAACTGGAACTAATTGACTTCGCCGTTGTTTTTCATCTTTCCACTTTTTTTTTTTTTCTTTTTTTTATTTTTGGTTTACACATCAATCAATTTGTTTCTTTCATTTTGGGTGGTAGAAATAAAGGTGATAGTGAAAATGAAAATGAAAAGAGAGAGAGAGAGAGAGAGAGGAGGTAGGAGGAGA